AGTGCCCCCCCTTTTGGCTGAGGCAGTGCCCCTCTCTAGGCTGAGGCAGTGCCCCTCTCTAGGCTGAGGCAGTGCCCCCATCTGGGCTGAGGCAGTGCCCCCATCTGGGCTGAGGCAGTGCCCCCATCTGGGCTGAGGCAGTGCCCCCATCTAGGCTGAGGCAGCGCCCCCCCTTCGGGCTGAGGCAGCGCCTCCCTTCGGGCTGAGGCAGCGCCTCCCTTCGGGCTGAGGCAGCGCCCCCCCTTCGGGCTGAGGCAGCGCCCCCCCTTCGGGCTGAGGCAGCGCCTCCCTTCGGGCTGAGGCAGCGCCCCGTTCAGTCTTACTCAGACTCATGTTTCTGTTTCAGGACATTCAGGCGTCTCTGCAAACATGATGAAGAAGAAGAATCCACACAAGTACGTCCAGAAGTGATTTTATTGAAGCCAGATTATGTAATCTCAGCTTTAATCTAAATCCGTTCAGATCTGTAATCTCGGGTTTTTGTCCGCGTCCCGGTAGGAAGCAGAGGACCAGCGTCGGACCCAGTAAGACGTTGGTTCCGCCCAGGAGGAACATTGTGGGCTGCCGGATCCAGCACATCTGGAAGGAGGGCAGTAAGTAGGCGACCTCTTGACCTCTGGACCTCTGGGTCGCTCGGTGTTGACATGTCCGGTTTCCCTCCAGGTAAATCGTCCCAGTGGAAGGGGACGGTTCTGGACCAGGTTCCGGTCAACCCGTCTCTCTACCTGATCAAGTACGACGGCTTCGACTGCGTCTACGGCCTGGAGCTGTACGCCGACGAGCGCGTGGTCGGCCTGGAGGTTCTGCCCGACAGAGTGGGTGAGGAACCGCACCGCCACCAGGTCCAGATGGGTTCTACCGGGTCCAGATGAGTCCAGATGGTTTCTACCTGTTCATTATTGTTAAACGCGGCCCACATGCATCCATCTGGGCCTTGTCTGACCTCTGACCTCTGACGACTGTCTGGACTGGTGATGCAAGTTATCAGTTAATTATTGTTCTGACCAATCAGGCGATCCTTCATGTTCTGCTCATTCCATAACATGAAGGGCTAAACTTTAACATTTTGGTTTTCTCACCTTGTCAAACTGAAACTTAGTTATAAAATATAACAACAGGATCCTGTTAAGATGAAAAATAAAATAAAAATAAAGAGTTAAAAGAGAAAGTTATGTGAACCACATAATCACATATGGACAGAGACTTTTCTTATTCTCGTATGGCCCTGCCAGCTTTATTTCTGTGTCCACTGACTCTGCTTAAGGATGACCAAACATTGACCCCCAACATAAACACTGCCAGAGACTGGAGACCCCTAAAAATATGCCTAATTCTTACACCCAGCTTATGTAAAAATTAATATGATGTCATCCCACCCAGGAACCGCCATCTTGTTTTTATGAGCGTCTCACAGCTTCTGTTTTTTTCCACTTTTCTGGACTTTGGAGTCGAGGTGAACCGTAGATCTGGAAGCCCTAGAAATCCAGAGCGATTCTGGTTTGGATTTGTGATCCAGACCCTTGCAGTGAAGACGGGATTAGCCTTGGTTGGTACCGCTCTGACCTGCCGCTCTGTCTGATTGGTCCAGCTCAGGCCCGGGTGAGCGACTCGCTGCTGGCGGAGACGATGATCGGGAAGGCAGTGGAGCACATGTTTGAGACGGAGGACGGGCCGAAGGAGGAGTGGAGGGGGATGGTTCTGGCCCGCGCCCCCATCATGACCACCTGGTTCTACATCACCTACGAGAAGGACCCGGTTCTGTACATGTACCAGCTGCTGGACGACTACAAGGAGGGCGACCTGCGCATCATGCCCGACTCCAGTGAGTGTCAGAGCGTGGAGTCCGGATCCGGAGTGGTCCA